GGCTGCCAAAAAGCTCCTCAGCTGAGGGGAGTCATAAGGGCCCCTTTAAAAAGGCTGCCAGCAAGCTTCTCTGCTGAAGGGAGACATAGTGGCCCCTTCAAAATTTATTTATTCAATTTATACCCTGCCCTCCCCGCCAAGGCAGGCTCAGGGCGGCTACAAAGCCCTTCAAATTTGCTGCCAGAAAGCGCCTCTGCTGAGGGAAGATGTAGTGGCCCCTCCAAAATGGCTGCCAGCAAGCTCCTCCTCTAGGGTTGCCAAGTCCCCACTGTATGCACAGCGGGGACTCCAGCTGCGGTCCGGGTGTGCACACACGTACTGCGACCATGTCTCCCGGAAGTGACGCAGCCGCGTCAGGCGCACCAGGGGTGGGGCTGCAGTCATCCAAGGGAAAAATTCCCTCGGATGACTGCGGCCCCACCCCTGGCGCGCCCGGCGTGGCTGCGTCACTTCCGGGTGACGTGCTGATGCCGGGCACGTCATGTGCTTTGGGGGTGGGGTTCCCCTCGGGGCCCGATCCGTCGGCAGTGGGTAACGGGCCTCTGGGGCGGGGTTTTCCCCGCCCCCCGGGGGGACTTGGCAAGCCTATCCTCCTCCTTTCAGTCATTACTTTTTGGGCACTCAAACTGTGTATAAGGGGAGACGGCTCTAACTACGATGCTGCCAATAACTGCAGTCACAATTTCATGTAAAATAGGCAACGTGTGTATATCCCAACACAGGCACACAAGATCTGAAACCCAGCTTTTGCAGAAGCGCGCATCTCTGTGTAGCAAGACTGGAAAACATGCACAAGTTCCTAGTCACACAAAATAGTGCTTGTAACACCTGAACAGCGCTTCAGTTCTAGCTTTGTTGTGGGCTTAATATTCCTCAGGTCTGGTTGGGGGCTCCGTTCCTTTCCCACACTTCTTCCTTCAGGAAATTCCCCCCACCCACACAAACTGTGACGTCTCAGTGTGTCGGTGACAAAGGGGACAACTTTCTGCTTTTTGGGCAAAACTCTATGGTAAGATTGCCCTCAAACCATAGAGTTTGGCCCAAAAAGAAGAGCATCTCTCCCCGACATCACTGACACGCTGATGTCACTTCCGGGGAACATCAGCACGTTGCATGAGGTCATGAAATGTCCCCTCCCACTCCAGAAACGCGTCCCAAATCCCCCTGCCGTCGCGAAGGAACGACCCGGCAACCCTACTTTGTTGTGTTGTGTTGTGTCAGGGACACAGTTCTCCTCAAGACCTTTTTAAATACTCATCACACTGCTGTAGGTTTCTGTTTTGTGGAAGTCTTGTGCTTTGACAATCTCTGGCTCAGTGGCCCATGTGTCCTGTGGGGTCTTTTGTACCTAGCTGGGGGAGTAAGCTGTTCTTTTTGTGGGTCAGACTTGCTGCATGGTGTCAGGTGTGCCTGTCCTCTAGAGGTGTGCACAGTGGTGACCTTGCGAGCTGTGGTGTCTTCCAGACCGTGCAACGTGTGGAGGGGAACTCCAAAGTCCAGAAGGGTCTGTTCTAGGCATGCTGTGGAGTGAGGAGGAATATTTTCTGAGACGAGCAGAGGTCCATGAGTGGCTATTAGCCACAAGGCAGAGATGGAAAACTTTGTCTGGGGCAGTGATGCTTTGTATTCTTGGCACTTGGGGGGCAACAGCGGGAGGGCTTCTGGAGTTCTGGCCACACTGATGGACTTCCTGATGGCACCTGGGTTTTGGCCACTGTGTGACACAGAGTGCTGGACTGGATAGGCCATTGGCCTGGTCCGACAGGGCTTCTCTTACGTTCTTATGTCTGGGGCAGTGATGTTCTGTGTTCTTGGTGCTTGGGGGGGCAACAATGGGAGGGCTTCTGGAGTTCTGGCCCCACTGGTAGACTTTCTGATGGCACCTGGGTTTTGGCCACTGTGTGACACAGAGTGTTGGGCATGGCTTCTTTTACGTTCTTATGTCTGGGGCAGTGATGCTCTGTATTCTTGGCACTTGGGGGGGCAACAGCAGGAGGACCTCTGGAGTTCAGGCCCTGCTGATGGACCTCCTGATGGCACCTGGGTTTTGGCCACTGTTTGACACAAAGATCTGACATGGCTTCTCTTATGTTCTCTTGTTCAAATGCAATCCTTTTAGTGATCGCAGAAAGGATCTGTGGCTCTATCGCATAGCAGCTTCTGCTTTGCATGCAGCCAGTCATGGGTTCAATCCTTGGCATCTCCAGTTAAAGGATTGCTGGTGTAACATGGTCATTAACTGACCTAGATGAAGCAATTTGTTTGACTGAGTTATATTGACATGAAAAGGTTATATCAGTGCCAATAACTAGGTCTCTGTGCAGTCAGGTATTTCTTAATAAAACTTCTGTCTTTGAACCTCCTCCTATGGAATAGCCAAGGTGAACATAAGAGAAGCCATGTTGGATCAGACCAGTGTATCATCTGCTCCAATGCTTTGTGTCACAGAGTGGCCAAAACCCAGGTGCCATCAGGAGGCCCACCAGCAGGGTGTGTAGTGGTTAGTGTAAGACTAAGATTTGGAGGATTGATATTTGAATCCTCACCAGTGAGGGGTCTACAGTTAAGTCTACATCAAGCCAAGCTGAGTCAATGCCGTCTGGAACACGTCTGAGCCTACAGCTGAACAAAAAATCCCCGTAGGCTGCAAACGTGTGCGATTTAAAAGATTTATATGTTGTCCTCCCTTACCCCTATGAATCATTGTTAGTCCCTCGTCAATGTGTAACTGCAAATCGCTCAGATCCAGCAGCTCTGCAGGATTGAGCGATTAATAAATCAAAAGATATTATTATTATTATTATTATAAATAGCAGAGCAGTTGCTTGGCACGCAGAAAGTCCCAGGTTCAATCCCCAGCATCTCCAGCTAAAAAGGACCAGGCTGTAGGTGATGTGAAAGACCTCCGCCTGAGACCCTGGAGAGCTGTCAAGAGGGGCTGTGGCTCAGTGGCAGAGCATCTGCTTAGCATGCAGAAGGTCCCTGGTTCAGTCCCCAGCATCTCCAGCTAAAAAGGACCAGGCTGTAGGTGATGTGAAAGACATCATGCATGAGACCCTGGAGAGCTGCCAGTTTGAGCAGACAACAATGAACTTGATGGACCAAGAGTTTGATTCAGTATAAGGCAACTTCATGTGTGTGTTGGGAGGGGCCGTGGCTCAGTGGTAGAGCATCTGCTTGGCTTGCAGAAGGTCCCAGGTTCAGTCCCCGGCATCTCCAGTTAAAAAGGACCAGGCAGGAGGTGATGGGAAAGACCTCCGCCTGAGACTCCAGAGAGCTGTAAAGAGGGGCTGTGGCTCAGTGGAAGAGCCTCTGCTTGGCAGGCAGGAGGTGATGGGAAAGACCTCCGCCTGAGACCCTGGAGTGCTGTAAAGAGGGGCCGTGGCTCAGTGGAAGAGCCTCTGCTTAGCATGCAGAAGGTCCCAAGTTCAATCCCCAGCATATCCAGTTAAAAAGGACCGGGCAGGAGGTGATGGGAAAGACCTCTGCCTGAGACCCTGGAGAGCTGTCAAGAGGGGCTGTGGCTCAGTGGCAGAGCCTCTGCTCGGCATGCCGAAGGCCCCAGGTTCAATCCCCGGCATCTCCAGTTAAAAAGGACCAGGCAGTAGGTGATGTGAAAGACCTTTCTCTGCCTGAGACCCCGGAGAGCTGTAAAGAGGGGCCGTGGCTCAGTGGCGGAGCCTCTGCTTGGCATGCAGAAGGTCCCAGGTTCATTCCCCGGCATCTCCAGTGAAAAGGACCAGGCAGGAGGTGATGGGAAAGACCTCTGCCTGAGACCCTAGAGAGCTGTCAAGAGGGGCCGTGGCTCAGTGGCGGAGCCTCTGCTTGGCATGCAGAAGGTCCCAGATTCAATCCCCGGCATCTACAGTTACAAGGACTAGGCAGGAGGTGATGGGACAGACCTCAGCTGGAGACCCTGGAGAGCTGCTGCCAGTCCGAGTATACAATTCAGAGTCTGATGGACCAAGCGTCTGATTCAGTATATGGCCGCTTCATGTGTGGACTGTGGAAACTCACAGGGTAACCTTGGGCCAGCCATGCCCTCTTAGCCCAGCCTACCCTCACAGGGTTTTTGTGAACATAAGGGGGAGGAGAGGAGGACGAGGTCAGCCACTCTGGGTCCCCGTAGGAGAGGAAGGCAGAGTATGAATGAAGCAATGAAATCAATCAATAAGCATTCTTTAAAGATTATCAACCAGCACCTTGTGTGGAATCGGTGGCAGTAACTGAGTGGACCGGAAGAGGCCAAGGTGGTTCAGGATGGAGAATCTTGGAGAAAGAGAGCGCATAGTTTGGCGTAGTGGTTAAGTGTGTGGCCTCTAATCTGGGAGAACCGGGTTTGATTCCCCACTCCTCCACTTGCACTTGGCTGGATGACCATGGGCAAGCCATAGTTCTGGCAGAGCTGTTCTCACAAGGACAGTTCTGGAAAGAGCTCTCTCAGCCCCACCTACCTCACGGGGTTGTCTGTTGTGGGGAGGGGAAGGGGAAGGAGTTTGTAAGCCACTCTGAGACTCCAAGTGAAGAGCAGGGTATAAATCCAATCTCCTCCTCCTCCTCTTCTTCTTGTGCTCAGAGAAGGTCTGAAAGGGAATCAAGGGAGAACAGACAGAGGGGCTGAACTGCTGGATTTGGACAGTATTTGGCTTTCCCACAGATGGCTCACAGCCACAACTAGAGATGTGAAGGCCCGGAAGAAAACCGGAAAGATTCGGGGGGAAACCCGGGTTTTCCCCGTTTTTTTCCAGAAGCCTTTTTTGTTTTCCGAAAAATTGAAAAAAGAAAAAAAAAAATGATTATGGAACATTTTATTTTAACATGATGAATAAAATATTTTAAGACAAGGTGTTCAAATATTTTCCAAATCATTTCTAAAAAATACGTATGGTATCAGATTGATCTAATTTCTGTGCACTGAGGACAAGCAAGTCCTAGGTTACAAACTGAACTCTCCGATACAAGAACAAGATGCATTTCTTCCTTTAGGAGGTGCTATTGTCACAAGAAAAGAAAAAGGTTTCAGGGGTTTTTTTTGCATGTGGGTGGGTATTCTGTTTGTAATCATTGTTTGGATGCACTATATTTTTAATATGCTAGTTGTGACAATTTCATGTAAAGTAAAAATGTTCATAGTCATATTTTATGTTCCTAAAGCAACAGAATGACTTTCAATCTGGAAAAGACAAAAAAAGTGCTAACATGGCAATTTTTTTCAATTTTTCCGAAAATTTCCATTTCCCCCCCCAAAAAAAAGTTGGAAAAAACCCCAGGTTTTTTTTCCGAGCGTCAAAATTTCCGGAAACTGTACATCTCTAGCCACAACCTGACTTGTGATAGGTTTGTGTTGGTGGGGAGATGTCGTCAAGTTGCAACTGTGTGATGGCGACCCCACGGGTTTTTCAAGGCAGGAGATGAGCCAAGGTGGTTCTGCCATTTCCTGCCTCTGCACAGCGACCCTGGGCTTCCTCGGTGGTCTCCCATCCCAGTACAAACCTGGACCAGCCCTGCTTAGCTTCTGAGATCTAACGAGATCGGGCCGGCCTGGTTACGGCAGATAGTTCTGTAGCACCCTAAATAAATGTGGGTCAGGGTTGCAAAGGAGTCACACAGCGAGCGGCACATGGTGTGGCCCAGTAGCCACTGTGCCACGTTAAGCAAACAGGCCCGCCATGAGGGGAAAGGTGTCAGAAAACGTTGAAAGTGAGGCCTCCTTGTTTCTCTTCTAACCCCACCTCTTCCCCACTCTTGCTGACCCGCAGGAACCCGTCCCCGGCTTCGGGGCCAACAGGGATCCCCAGAACCTCCTGATGGTCCGCAAGATCTCCGTGGCCAGGATGCACTCCTTACCCAACGACAGCTACATGTTCCGGCCAGTGATCCCAGCAAAGGCCCCGTACCCGCTGCACGAGGTGGAGCTGGAGGCCTACTTGCATAAGTCGCCCAGAGGTACGCTGTGGTGCCGATTGTGGCGAATGTGCTGAATGTGTACAACCCTCCCTCACTTGAACCCTCAGTCTGACAGGACGTTCTGTCTCCCAGGATCCATCACTTCTGTCCGTTCCCAGCCGGTGGAGACGTGCTCTTCTCTGACCGTCCCTCGGGAGGTCCTTCGCCCAACGACCCCGCCTCCCCACCACGGCGCAGGGGGGCTGTGGAAGCTTCACCCCCCTCACACCGCGTCTCGGTCCCCCAGTCTCAACAGGCTGCTGTGTAGACAGGTATGAAACCGTGTGGTGTAGTGGACAGAGTGCCATGCCTCGATCTGGGAGACCCCTGTTCGAATCCCCCACCTGAGAGCCAGCGTGGTGTCGTGGTGAGGAGCGCGGACTCTAATCTGGGAGAACCGGGTTTGATTCCCCACTCCTCCACATGCAGCCAGCTGGGTGACCTTGGGTCAGTCACAAGTTCTCTCAGAGCTGTTCTCTCAAGAGCAGTTCTCAAGAGAGCTCTCTCAGCCCCACCTACCTCACAGGGTGTCTGTTGTGGGGAGGGGAAGGGAAAGGAGTTTGTCAGCCGCTCTGAGACTCCTTCAGGTAGTGAAGGGCAGGGTATAAATCCAATCTCCTCCTCCTCTTCCTCCACTTTGGAAGTTCACTGGGCACCCTCGGGCCAGTCACCCTCTCTCAGCGTGGCCTACCTCACAGGGTTGTTGTGAGGATGAAATGGAGGAGAGGAGAATGCCGTAAGCCACTTCAGGTCCCCGTATGAATGCGTCGCTTCTCGGCCTTTTGGCTAAGATCGAGTGTAGTAGGTCCCCGTATGAATGAATAAATAAATTAGATAAACCATTTGTCCATTTTTTTTTCCCTTGGCAAATTGGAGGGGAGGGAATTATTATTTTTAGAAAAGACGTGATTGTCAGGGAGACATGATAGAGGGTTATGCACGGGGCGGACAGAGTTGACAAAGATAATTTTTTCTCTTTCCTGAACTGCTAGGGCCCGAGGGCATCCAATGAAGTGTCCAGGCAGTAGATTCAGGATGGACAAAAGGAAGTAATCCGTTACACAGAGAGGGATTAGAATGTGGAAATTCGCTGCCAGAGGATGTAGCGATGGCCACAGGAACAAATACCTTTAAAAGGGGATTAGATTGATGAATGGGGGAGAGGTCTATCAATGGCGACTAGCCTTGGTGGCTGAGGGGAACCTCCACATTCAGAGGCACTAAGCCTCTGAATCCCAGAGCCAGGAGGCAACACCAGGGGAAGGCTTTGGCCTCTCTGCTTGGTTGTTGGCCCTCCAGAGGAACTGGTTGGCCACTATGTGAGACGGGATGCTGGACTAGATGGACCCTCACTAGTCTGATCTACCAGGGCTCTTCTGAGGTTCTGATCAGGGCAAGGCCTCGGCCTCTGTGCCCTGTTGTTGGCCCTCTCTAGAGGAACTGGTCAACCACGGTGTGAGATGGGATGCTGGACTAGATGGACCCTCACTGATCTGATCCACCAGGGCTCTTCTGAGGTTCTGATCAGGGCAAGGCCTCGGCCTCTCTGCCCTGTTGTTGGCCCTCTCCAGAGGAACTGGTCAACCACTGTGTGAGACAGGATGCTGGACTGGATGGACCCTCACTGGTCTGATCCAGCAGGGCTCTTCTGAGGTTCTGATCAGGGCAAGGCCTCGGCCTCTGTGCCCTGTTGTTGGCCCTCTCTAGAGGAACTGGTCAACCACGGTGTGAGATGGGATGCTGGACTAGATGGACCCTCACTGGTCTGATCCAGCAGGGCTCTTCTGAGGTTCTGATCAGGGGAAGGCCTCGGCCTCTCTGCCCTGTTGTTGGCCCTCTCTAGAGGAACTGGTCAACCACGGTGTGAGACGGGATGCTGGACTGGATGGACCCTCACTGGTCTGATCCAGCAGGGCTCTTCTGAGGTTCTGATCAGGGGAAGGCCTCGGCCTCTCTGCCCAGTTGTTGGCCCTCCAGGGGAACTGGTTGGCCACCATGTGAGACGGGATGCTGGACTAGATGAACCCTCACTGATCTGATCCAGCGGTGCTCTTCTGATGTCCTTCTTATTTTCTTAATGTAGAAGTCCGGTGGCACCTGGTGAACCTTAATGGGTCAGAGCGTAGTTCTCCAGAGCTCTCAGTCATGCAAGATCATGAGGGAGTTAAGTGTTCTTCATCTTTAAGCTACCACTGGACTTTTGTTTTACTCCAGTAGGCTGACAAAGCTACCCTGCTGGGATTATCCATGAATGTAACCTTTCATGGGTGTGCTTGATTCGAGTCCAGTAGCATTTTAGGGAGCGACGAGCTTTTGAGAGTCAAAACTGCCTTTGTGAGGTATCTGGTGGAGATTTGACTCTCAAAAGCTTGTACCCTGAAAATCTTATTGCTCCCTGATGTGCTACTGGACTCGAATTTAGCTCTTCTACTGCACACGGACATGGCTACCCTAAGTAACTGGGGAGATAATCAAAATACCCCTAATTTTGTCCTTGGTTCAGGAATTCCAGGTTTTTCCCCCACCACTGCTTTTTAATTTCTTGTTTTCTTCTCTTGGTGTGGTAGGAGGCCGTTCAAAGGGATTCTTTGGATGGTCAAAACGCAGACCCCAAGGAGAGCAAGCCAGCTGAGGCCTGTGAGAACCCGCCACCCAGGAAGCTGTCCCAGAGCACATTGGGCCCACCTCTGTTTCCTCCACTCCCGGTATCCCTGCCCGGGACACCCCCGCTTCCCCCTGCATCACCTCCCAGGCCCTCAAGCATCAGTACCCACAAGCACACGTTCAGCCAGCACAGCATCCCCAGCCGGCCTTCTAGTCGCAACAGCGACCCCGACAATTTCCTGTTTGAATCCTCCGACCTGGCTGACGAGGAGGTCAGCCACATCAACAGCTCTGCGAGAGAGTGGGCCCACCAGCGAGACAGCGCGGACCTGTCGGACTCCCCTTTCCTTTCGCCCCCTTTGTCACCTTTCCCCCTGAAGAACGGCAGTACGACCAGCCTGACAGGGGGGAACGTCAAAGAGAAAGACCTGAAGAAGTTCTACAGCGTGGACACACGAGGGTTCCTGGCCAAGCCGGGCTGGCCCGACGAACAAAGACGGCACTCGATTGAGATCTGCCCGTCCGTCACCGACAGCGAGCGTAGCTTCACGGAATCTACCGAGGAGAAGAGGCGACTTCCTCTCCATGTTGAGTCTGAGTACATCCACGGGGTGCGGCGGAAGAAGAAAATGAGCCCCCCTTGCATTTCTATAGATCCTCCCATGGAGGAAGAAAGCAATGCATCCGCACGAACCAAAGCATCCGAGAACAGCCTGCTGAGGAGGAGGACCCCGTCGTGTGAGTCCACCGCTTACAGGGACTCCTTGGAACTTGCCGACAACCAACCCGGAGAGCAGACTGCCAAGGTGGAACGCCGGGCCCTACCAGTCTGTCGAGGGGAGCACTTGACAATCCCGAACTTCTCCTACGAACAGGCTGACGTCAGTTCGGCCAGCGGTCTCACGGACCGCCTCTCGGACAGTGGCCCGTCGGTTCTTCCCTCGGCGGATTCCCCATCTGAAAACGCCATGGCCCCTGAGCCGAAAAAGACGGACCATTTGAAAACTCAGTGCACCGAACCTGAGAGGAACCGAGAACTTCTCAGTGGGACAAAGAGCCCCCTACGGAAGCACGGGCCAGTCCCCACTGTCCCCGCAACAGACGAACCCGTTGATGAACCGGTATAGCTTCCAAGGGGGGGGAGGTCGAGCGAGAGCATTTAAGGGCTTGCCACCAAAAGTGGAAAATGATTGAAAAGCCAGAACTCCGTGGCTGATTCCAAAACGTTTCTTCAAAGCGCTGTGAAGGGTTTTGTTGTTGGGGTTTTGGTTTTGGGGTGTTTTTTTAAAAAACAAAAAAGAATCAAAGAGAAGCTGGTTTCGAAAACAGCACCACGGTTCAGGGTAAAAGAAAGGGGAGTATTTTCCTTTCTGTGCAGTACACGGAGTACCTTTCCCCATTGTTCTTTTTTCCTCCCCCCTTTCCTCTTCACCTGGCGTGGCCTGGATCACATTGATTTGGGTTTCGGGCCTTTGTTTTATCTTTTTTAAAGAAACAAAAAAAATAGGATTTAAAAAAACTTTTTTTGACTTTTCAAAAAAAAAAAGGCACTTTTTATTAATTGCACGGAAGTTGTCACAGGAAGTTGAAGTGCCCAGAAAGAATGGAATTTGTATATTGTCTGTATATCAGCAGTTATTATAAATAGAAAAAAAAATAATGTATTTGAGAAATAAAAAAAGAGGAAAAAATAACAAAAAAGCCACACACACACGACACCACACGACACACAAACACACACGCTCACACATATTCACGAGAAGACTCTTCTCTTCGTCATGCACACGTTTTTATTATAATGAGCAATGACTCCGATCTAAGCTGAAATCCCATGGTAAAAGCTCCCCCTTTCAATTCCTGTCGTTGTTCAGTAAGGCTTGCAATTCAATCCTGCGCAGGTTTACTCGGACGTTAGTCTGGTGGGCCCTGATCCAACTAAAGTTAAGTGCTTCACACACCTCTGAAATCCATGGGATTTAGCGACTTGCCACTTAACTTATCCCATCGATTAGAGTGCTGGTCATTTTTGCTGGACTGGGTCCCCTGAGCAAGTTCTGCCTTTGGTCTTACCAGGGTGCTCAGAATTGCAGCCTCCGTCGCAACTAACTTCAAATGGATTGGGGCCTGTTTTCTCCCCCTACCCTTTAGTAGATTTTTAATTTCTTTCTCTTGTTTTGCTTTTTTTTTTCTGCATTAACCAACAGATTTTTTTTTCTTCAACCGGGTGGGGTATCATTAGATTTTTAAGTGGAACTGTAATAGCAAAGGCTTGCCATGATGTTTTGGATCTCTCTCTCTTGTTTTGCTCTCCCAAACAGACTTTCTCTGATTCCCCCTCCCTCTAACCCAGGGCCAGTTCTTCAGCCAAGCCAATGAAACAATGGAATGGGGGGCACGGGGGGGGGGAATACCCCAGGGGGGGTCAGCATGCTCCCAGGCATTAGCAGCGCAGGAGGTAAACAGAAGTTGTCTTCTGGATCCGCGCTGGTGCCAGATCTTAGCAACCGTGTGGGGAAACACAATTGATGTATCTTGGTGTGGTAACAAAACACCTCGAACTGGTTTTGCCTAG